TGTAAAAAATTAATGTAATTGAAATTTATTGCCAAAAGTTATGTAAAATCCAAAAATGAAGAAAAGTTTCTAAAACAACAACCATAAAAGAAAGAATTAAATCATTATCAACGAAATATCTCAAAAATGTTCAAAATTCCCATTAAGAAAAATTAACTACACTTGACCCCAGGGCAAATTCATTCATAACCCCAGGATCTTGACTTTTTCGCAATGATAAAACAAAAACTAATTACTCAAACAGCATAGATACCTGCTGTTGTTGCTCCCTAGAAGAGGGAGGGGAGAGGGGTGTTGCTGTCATTTTCTTTTCTAAATTAAAACTCAAAACTAAAACCATACGACGTAATCTTTACTAATTTTGCTAATGAACTTGACATAAAACTTCTCCGAAAGCAAGCGAGTGAGTGTGTGTCTGTTTTGGAGGAAAACACATGCATGCCCACCTTTCTGTCTGTGTCGGTCTGTTTGTCTGTCCGCCTGTTTGTCGGCAACACCCATATGTGTTTTTTGGAGATTCGTGCAAAACATTCAAACATTCCATTCCCAGCAATGCCGTTGAAAAAGAAAGTTATATCAAGAGCAATAATAAAATTAAAACCACCAACAACAATGAAGCATAATAATAACAACAACAACTATAACAATTCGCATACACACATATTCGTACATACATACAACAAGCCATTAGAATGTTATTTCCCAACATTTTGTAACGCTACCCACTTCCCAACAGCCCAACAGCTCCGCCGATTTTACATGGTTCAGGGCTTCTCCTATCATTATTGCTTTGTTGGATTTTATTTAAGGTGTATTTCCATGAAGCTCTCAGCGAGTGAATGTGTGTATGTATGTGTATTTGTGTGGGTAGAGTTCATAATAATCATCATCCTCGTCGTCGTCATCATCATCAGGTCCCATTGCCGCTACGGCGTCTATGACGACGACCATAGTTTAGTATGACTTGTTCACAAAAAAAAAAAAAAAAAAACGGAGAGAGACAAAGAAAATAAAATAGAAAACAAATCGACGAGTCTGATTATTTGCAAAAATCAAATACAAAATACTCACACACACACACACATAGACAACATGCATACATACGCACCCACAAGTTGTACTGGTAGTTGGCCTAGTAATGCACAGTGTCTGGTTATTGATTGAATATTAAAAATAAGTAGATTCAGTTTATTAGCGGAACTCGTTTCAAATATATTTTCTTCAGAAGCTAGACTCGATCGAATTATAAGCGACCATTGCCTTAAAAATATCTAGCTAATCCAAATTTAACCATAGAGTTTCCAAAATATCAAATTGCAACTGGTAAAGTCAAAAGTCGGGCGGGTCCGACTATATGATACCCTACACCACTATGTATACTTTGTAGAGGTCCAGTAACAAAAGAATTTATTTGTAGTAGATTATACCACCTATCAACCTTTGGCTTTAGAGCAGTTATAAATTGGTTTCAGAGGGAACTAATATATGGTAGGCATGGCCAGATCTGGATTCGATTTTCACCAAATTTGACAGAGACTTTTTTATCTTTTATACCAAATAATATTGCTAAAGAGTCCATGATATCACTTCTAGAAGGTTTATATTAAGAAAAATATGGTTGGGAGCCGAGTTCCGCTAAAGTTCCGAAATTCACTCCATTTGGGTTGATATTAGCCATTATTTGCACAATAAACCGGAAATCGGTTGAAAATGTATATCTATATCCAAATCTGAGTCGATCTATATACAATTTGGCATTGTTGTGGAGTGCATATAACCCATGCAAGATACATAAAACCTAAAATTGGATGAAACATATATATGGGAGTTATAGCTAAATCTGAACCGATTTTCAAATTTGATGTGCTTGCTTCTAAACGGAATTCGGTCGAATTTGCCAAAATGCAGGTCATTTGGACTGACAATGGCTATTAGGTGCATAATTAACCCGAAATCGGTTGAAGATGTATATGGGAGCTATATCCAAATCTGAACCGATCTTGATAAAACATGGATGAAACATATATATGGGGGCTATAGCTATATCCGAAGCAATTTTTAACAAATTTGATGTACTTACTTCTATACTGAATGCAGGTGGAATTCAGGTCATTTAGACTGATATGGCCCATTAACAAGGAATCTGTTGAAGATATGTATGGGAGCTATATCCTAATCTATATCAATCTTGATAAAAATTGGCAGATGTATTTCTGGGCAGTAACTGACATCTAGTACCAAAAATCATTGTTGTGGAATGCATATCACGAAGGTAAGGGACTTGAAGACCAAATCGAATGACATGTATATATGACAGCTATAGCTATATCTGAAGCGATTTTCACCAAATTTGATGTACTTGCTTCTAGACTGAATTCGGACGGACGTGCCAACATTCAGGTCATTTAGACTGATATTGGCCATTTGGTGCGCAATTAACCCGAAATCGGATGAAGATAACATAAGGGGGCTATATCTAAATTTAAACGTATTCTAACCAATAGGGTTCGTCCTTGGGCCAAACAAATACAGGGTGAGATGAAAAAACTGCAACTAACTTCAGACTGCTGCCATTTCTAAGCCACTCCGACCGACAGCTGTTAAAATTATTCCAGTGACAGCTCATTATATTTTTTAGAAGCGTACAAAAGCATTTTGGTGATAATTTTCCTGAAAAAAGTTATTCGTGATGCAATTCAAGCGTGATAGTGTGATTTCTTTATATTTGGCTGGAAAATCACAAGGGGCTATCGTTCGAGCTTTCCAGCATTTAAATGTGAATAAATCTTTTGTGTCTCTTACCATCGCTTGTTACCGTGCGATACTGGTAGCGTAGCCCGACGTCAAGGAAGTGGACGGAAGAAAACAGCAACATCAGCAGAAATGGTTCGAAAAGTAAAGAAGCATCTTGATCGAAACCCGCGTCGCAGTGGCCGAAAAATGGCTCGTGAGTTGAACATATCGCAATATTCCATTCGGCAAATATAGAAAAATGAGCTCGGGGTAAAGTCATTGAAATTCCAAAAAGTGCAAGAACTTACCCCGCAACAGAAAGAAAATAGACTCAAAAGATCTAAAGAATTGCTTCGCTTGGCCGAAAGTGGTGATTTGGCGAATTTGGTTTTCCCCGATGAGAAAACATTCGTTGTCCAGCAGTTAGTAAACAAACAAATTGATCGTGTTTACTTGTCAAAGAGATCAGCTGAAAATGTGCACCTTCGGTTGGCCACCAGAACAAACGCCGGCCATGGTTATGGGTTGGACCGCCATAACAGCCGATGGTCGCTCTCCGCTCGTATTAATCGACCGTGGCTTCAGAATAAGTGCCGAATATTATCGCGAAAATATTCTGGAGGGTGTATTAAAGCCTTGGGTACGCAAACATTTTGGCCGCAGACCTTAGACATTCGTGACAAAGGTGACCAATAATGCTATTTCCGACATTTTTTGCTTTCATTCAATAAAATTAAAAATAAAATTTAAAAATTATGGCATTTGACTTGTTGCAGTTTTTATACCCTCTACCTTGAAAAGGAGGGTATATTAACTTTGTCATTCCGTTTGTAACATCCTTAAATATTCGTCTTAGACCCCATAAAGTATATATATTCATAATCAGCATAAAATTCTAAGTCGATTTAACGATGTCCGTCTGTCTGTCCGTCTGTCTGTCTGTTGAAATCACGATACAGCCCACACTATTTCACGTAGAGCGCCAAAATTTAGCAGAGCTATTTACATTGTGTCTAGGAAGGTTGGTATTGAAAATGAGATATATCGGTCCACGTTCTGGTATAATCCCCATATAACGGTACCTCCCGATATTCGGTTTTTTGATGATTTATGCCACATTTTTTCACGGATTTGTCTGGAAATTGGTATTTGTAGGTCATAACGCGTCCCTGAGCGTGTGGCAAAACATTGCATGTATAGGTTCACGTTGTGGTATAGCCCCCATATAAAGGTACCTCCCGATATTCGGTATTTTAGTTTTTTTTCACATTTTTTCACGGATTTGTCTGAAAATTGGTATTTATTGGTCATAATGGGTTCCAGCTCCGGTGGCGAATCATTGCATGTATGGGTCCACGTTTTGGTGTAGCCCCCATATATCGGTACCTCCCGATATTCGGCATTTTAATGGTTTTTGCCACAGTTTTTTCACTGATTTCTCTAAAAATTGGTATTTGTGGGTCATAATGGGTCCTATTTCGTGTGGCGAAATATTGTAATTATAGGTCCAGGTTTTGGTGTAGCCCCCATATAACGGTACCTCCCGATATTCGGCATTTTAATGGTTTTTGCCACATTTCTTCTAATGTTTCTTTTACCCTAAGGTGGAGGGTATTAAAAGTTTGGTCCGGCCGAACTTAATGTTTTTTACTTGTTTTATCTCACCCTGAATATAAAATTGATCAGCATACATTCGTGTGTCTTTCTGTTCAATCATTGATATTATATCAAGGATGTTTGGTATTGCACGTTGAATATTTCAGTTTATCGTACCTCCTGATTTCAATATTGATGGTTTCTTATCAGTGGCTTCGCTACTACTTAATATTCTTACAGTAATTCCCGATTATATGATAGATAGTTCTTAATAAATTTTCTTGAGAAACACAATTATAGCTCGATTAGGGGGAATGCCTTTTCGTATCACAATCTTCAAAATCTCTGCACATTGTCGAATTTTGAAAAAATAGTAGGAATCGATTAGGACCCATTTGTTTATTGCTTGGCAAGGTATTTAAGAGTTGCTCCCATCCACTTTCAAACCCGTTTCCCAAAACAGTCATTTACTCACAATAGAACAACCTGTATATGATTTACATTTTTCATTTCAATACAGGAAAACCTCGTCATCTTGGAAACATGTTGTGGTAGTCAGTGTGTGTGTGAGAGAGAGAGACTAGGTGCAAGTGAACTTACGCTGCATGTTGTTTGTATTTGTAATTGTGTGTATGTTTTTTTGTTGTTGATGATTTGTTATTGCCTTTCAGCGATGACAATCATGATGCCAATGCTCATGTCGACGACGAAGGCGAAGACGACGACAGTGAAAACGATGATGATGATGTGGACGTGGACATGGATGTTGACGACAATGTTGTCGCTGTTGTTTATGTTGACGTTTGCGTTGGCAGCAGCATCATTCGCCTTCTTTCTTTGCTCAGAGTAGAATTTCTTCTTTTGAAAATGATTTGTGAACATCTTGAAAATAGCAAAGAGTCTGTGTCGCCTATGTTTGGCGTTTTCTTATTCTTATTATTTTTGCCACACGACAACAAACGAAAGAGTACTAGGAAATGAGCAACAAGAACAACACGAGAAGAAGAAGAAGAATAAGAAAACGGAATATAACGGAGACTCATGGACTCGTTTTGTTGAATAACCACACACTTGCACACAAACAAGAAAAAATATGCTCATCTACGAAAAGGATAAGCAAAGCAATTTGCTTGAATAGATCCCACACGCTGGTTCCTCGTCCTCCTCCGTCTTCGTCTTTGAGACAGTCCTTTTTCGGTATTCACAGAAGCCATGCGACATTGAATCAATGGGTTTCTTTGCCTTGGCTGTTGTTTTTTTTTTTTGGTTTTGTTATTCTCTGTTGTTTGTTTTTTAGTTGGTATTTTTTTGAAATTCCTTAAAAACTGTTTGTGAAAGTGAGTAAAGGTTTGTGTGTGTTTGAGCTGGTGTCTGAGAATGAATATGGGATTTGCTTTTTTTATTTATTTGCAAATATTGGATTTTATATTCGGTTTGTAACATTGTCTTGATCAACGTTAATAAAAATCTTCATTCTATCCCCTTCCACGATCTTTATAGTCCAATAAAACGATAAAAATCAAATTCTGCAACAAATATATAAAAATACAGGTATATCGTATTTTTATATATGAGGTTCTAAAAAACAAAAGTCTAATTATTCAAGAATTCTTTGACAGATCCTAAACCGTAGAAAGTACTTCAAAAAAATTAAAAACAAAATTAATATTGAAAATATTTGCAATAAGTTAAAAAGTATCAGTCGGTTTTACCCACATATTTTACGAGATTATTATACAAACTGTTGATAGTGGGTCAATATTGTAGATATTAATAATATACAGGGTGAGTTAAAAAAACTGCAACAGAGTCAAACGCCAAAATTTTTACATTTTTTCTTTAAATTTTATTGAATGAAAGCAAAAAATGTCGGAAATAGCATCAACATTTAGAAGATGTTTAGATTTGTTTGAATTGGCCACCTTTGGCTCGAATTGTGGCCTTCAAACGGCCAATGAAACCGTCACGCGCTGCCCGAATGTTGCTCTGTGGTATTCTGGCCTATTCCCGGCGAAGCGCTTGCTTGAGGTTATCGACACTTTGTATATATATTATACATAATGTATATATATTCATAATTAGCATAAAATTCTAAGTCGATTTAACGATGTCCGTCTGTCTTTCTGTCTGTCCGTCTGTCTGTTGAAATCATGATACAGGGCACATTATCTGACGTAGAGCATAAAGATTTAGCAGAATAATTTGTCTTGTGTCTAGGATGGTTGATATTGAAAATGACATACATCGGTCCACGTTTTGGTATAGCCACCATATAGCTGTACCCCCCGATATTCGGTATTTTTATGATTTTTGCCACATTTTTTTATGGATTTGTCTAAAAATTGGTATTTGTTGGTCATAGTGGGTTCTAGCTCCGGTGGCGAAACAGTGCATGTATAAGTCCACGTTTTGGTATAGCCCCCATATAGCTGTACCTCCAGATATTCGGTATTTTGATGATTTTTGCCACATTATTTGTTGGTCATAATGGGTTCTAGCTCCGGTGGAGAAACATTGCATCTACGAGTCCACGTTTTGGTATATGCCCCATACTCGGTATTTTGATGATTTTTGCACATTTTTTCACGGATTTGTCTGATAAATGGTATTTGTAGGTCATAATGGGTCCTAATGTTTCCATTATTTTTTCCATTTTTTACTTGTTTAGTGCCAACCTTGCTTTCCAAAATACTCCAGACACAAGGCTTTAATACACCCTCCAGATTATTTTCGCAATAATATTCGGGATTTATTCTGATGCCACGGTCGATTAATACGAGCGGAGAGTGACCATCGGCTGTTATAGGGGCCCACACCATCACCATTGCCGGCGCTTGAGTTCTGGTGGCCAACCGAAGGTGGACATTTTCGGTTGACCTCTTTGGCAAGTAAACACGATCGTTTTGTTTATTTACAAACTGCTGGACAACGAATGTTTTCTCATCGAAGCGGAGAAAACCAAATTCGGCAGTCTCTTTTGAGTCTAATTTCTTTCTGTTGCGGTGTAAGATCTTGCACTTTTTGGAATTTCAGTGGCTTTACCCCGAGCTCATTTTTCAATATTTGCCGAATGGAATATTGCGATATGTTCAGCTTACGAGCGATTTTACTGTCATTGCGACGCGGGTTTCGATCAAGTCGCTTCTTTACTTTTCTAACCATTTCTGCTGATGTTGCTGTTTTCTTCCGTCCACTTCCTTGACGTCGGGCTACGCTACCAGTATCACGGCAACGAGCGATGGTCCGAGACACAAAAGATTTATTCACATTTAAATGCTGAAGTGCTCTACCGATAGCCACTTGTGGTTTTCCAGCCAAATATAAAGAAATCACACTATCACGCTTGAATTCGATCACGAATAACTTTTTTTCTGGAAAATTCTCTCCAAAATGCTTTTGTACGCTTGTAAACAATATAATGAGCTGTCACTGGAATAATTTTAACAGCTGTCGGACTAGTGGCATAGAAATGACAGCAGTCTGAATTTGGTTGCAGTTTTTTTGATCTCACCCTATATGTTCTAAAATCCTCGAGAAAGGTACAGATGGCTGCGGAGAATTTTTACTTAAAAATCAGTATTAATGACCTTCTGTTTTGGGAAACAAACAATCTATAAAATTCCAAAACAAATATGCTTTCATAATGTCAAATATCCTCCTTTCGGAGGGTCTCTAGAATTCGTCCTTGCCGATTTGATCGTCGCCTTTCTCACTTTTATTTTTATTTTTGTCGACTCTGCCGTTTTTTTACTTTTTCTTTTTGTTGAGTGTGCGTGTGTGTGTTTGCTTTTTTTTGCCAATCCAAAATATGATGTTGAAAGGTTGTTGTATTTGTTGTTCGCCTTTTCCTTGGCGTTTTCTTTGACTAGTTTCTTTTATTTTCTTCTCGCTGTGCCTGTTTCTGCTTTTTGCCTTTTTATGTGTGTGCTGTTTTTTTTTCGATTCATCCTCTCCTTGATATCCTTTGTGAGGGTGTTTTTCTTGTATTTTTTTTTTTTGGCCAGTAGGTGAGAGTGTGCTGCGTCGCATCGCGTGGGGCATAAAGTGTGTACTTTGTGGTATTGTGGCGAATATCTTTGACCTATGTCGCTGTCTGTGAGTGCGTGTGTGTGTAGATGTGTGCGTGAGTGAATGTCGTCTGAGCCTGTTTTTCCTGCAATTAATTGGTTGTCTTTTATGTTTTGATGTTCATAAAACTTAAAAAACAGACGAGGAGATTCCAAATGCTTTTTGTCGCAACAAAATTAGCCCATAAAACATATGAACATATGCCGTTGCCCCGAAGAAAAAGAAAAACACACACACACGACTGAGCAAATCACTGACTACGTTTTTTAGTGGTGTTGTTGGCCTCAGACGTCACACACACACAAACTGAAAGTCATTCCCCACCTTTTGATTTTTTCATTATTTATTTTTTTTCTTTTTTTCCCTTCCTTTGTTTGTCACTTGCGTTTTCTTTCCCGTGAGTAGTTTAGCGGCGGTCTCTCGTTCTCACTCTCTCTCTCTCTCTCTCTTGGGGGAATTGTTAAATAAATAAACATTAATCATACGTCTGGAAGAGAAATTGTTTGTTTATCTACTGCTTTGCTCCAGGGAATCAACGACGCTTTCGTGTGACTGGCGACTAGCGGTGGCAGCCCAGCTAAGTTAGTAACAAATTAAGCAATATGGCTGTTTTGGCAGCAGTTGTGGCAACAACAGCAACAACAACAATAACATCATAGTTGAAGGTGTCATGTTTTTGTTCGGAACAAATGAGCAGCTCTATTTTTCCTGCCATCCACCAAAAGGAAGACAATTAATTTTTACTTTGGAGTGGATTAATTTCTTCTACTCAGGATAAACGATGGCCACGTGTTTTTCGGACGGGCTTAGATCTGTTTGGGGGGTGGAGAGAGAAAGGAACTAAATAAATGTTGAAGTTCATTGTAATAGTGGAGAATAAATAAAATATTACCAAACATCAAAGTTGAATGTCAGAATGCCATTGATGGACATTTTTGCTAAATGAGAAAAACAAACAAAAGGATAATGGTTTGTTAGAAAAAAGAGAAAAAACAAAATGCAGACGAATTCATATTTTGGTCCTTATAGGGTTCTGATATTGGGGAGGGAAAATTGGAAAAATGTTTTGAAAGAACTAAAAAATAATATTTAAAGCTTTTTTTTTTTTTAATATTTTAAAAATAAATAAAAAAAATTTTCCTTTTTGAACAGTTTGAAAATTTGTATTGGAGTATTTTAAAAAATGCAAGGTTTGTAGCCCTTTTTGTTTTTACACCCTCAGCCATTTATACCCACAGCCATATGCAATTTGGTATATCGTAATAATATTATCAAACTTGGATCGACTCCGGAGATGGTACATCCCTCAAAAAAGGCCGAAATTTTCAAAAAAAAAAAAAAAATAAATAAATAAATAAATAAATAAATAAATAAATTACTGCACAGAAAGGGAAAGGATAATCCGATTTTGCTCCAACTTTGCAAATCCTAATATTAGCATTACTTCTGAGTCAGGTGCGAAAATGGGCAATATCGGTTCACTTCACTGTAAGAGATCGATTGTCTTTAAATTACACACATTACAATATTTTTATTAACCAAAGGTCTGGTGTGAAGATGGAATATATCGGCTTACTCCTTGTGGTACCTTCCATAAAAGTACCACAAAATAGTCTTAATTTTGAATATCCATGAAGCTCATAAATGGCGAAATTTACATCCGATTCCACTCAGACTTGGCACATCTCGATATTTCTATCAACATAAGATCTGTTATAAAGACTGCACAGATCGAACCTATCCTTCTGGTATCTCCCC